TTTTTACTTGAGATGCTTGAGTAATTTTTCAACTATAATATATATAGTCTATAATAGTGTAGGATGGTGGAAGACATATGAGGAAGGTTACAGACATTAATAATTAAAGTTATTCTGAGAAACAAATTTTGCCTATCTCAATCCCTCTGCAAGCCTTTTTTTTTTTTACCAAGAAAAATCCCTCTGCAAGCCTTACCATAATAATACGTCACTCATTAATATTATTGATTATAGTACTAATTAAAGGCAGGCTTACTCACCTAATTGGAATTTACTCATGTTTTAAAGACAAAACGACTTATTAATTATCCTTATGCATGTATTGAGCAGAGCAGCTTTTTAAGTTGACTAACTTGCGCCCAGCCAGATTATTTTACCTTTTAAGATTTTTTTACCGAGGATTATTTTTTTACTGTTACACACACTCTCACATACAAGAGATAAATAGGAGATTATCATTCTTCACTATTACACTTCGTTCAAATAATATCACTTCAATAGTCAAAATGCCTTCTCTATTAGAATCAAATTTATTTTGATTTATCTGTAAAAGTCTGTGCTCCTTCTAGCTTGATGGTGGAAATTTTAGCCTGTAAGCATGCTCTCTCTTTAGCCTTTGATTTGAAGGATTACTCGTTCATTATATTGAACTTGACTGCTTTGAACTCTTTAACTCTATCTCTAGGATGTATCATGGACTTATTGACGAGCTTTTGTCAAGCATAAAATCCCTCACTAATGTGTCTTTCTCTTTCATTAAGCGTTCCAGAAATGCTGCTGCAGATTGGCTTGTTGCCATAACCTCAAAGGAGATGGATTCTCTCATTTGGTTTCACAACCCCCATCCTCCCTTCATCCTATTCTTAAACAGCTACCCTTTTTCCCCCTAAATATATATATATATATATATATATATATACCTCTTCATCATCATCATTTTGAAAATCTACAAATATTTTTCATATATATGTTTGCGCATGGTCAAAAGGAAAGTAATTAAACATGTGTCTGAAATTAAATAAAATAAATAAATGATAGCAAGTCGAAGCAATTAATCAATATATCCTTAGACTTATTGCAACAAGCATATTCTCATCTAAGGCGTTCAAACTCGCGAGTTTAAGCAAATTCATAATAGAAATGTAAACTTGAATCAAAAACTCATAAATGTTTACTTTATTAATAAATTGGTATTAAAAATACATAATTAAATAATTACAATTTTAAAAATGACAATAATTTTATTTTAATATATTTTAAATCTAAATAATTAAAATTAAATTCATCAATGTTCATAATTTACCATATTCAACTAATAGATTCTTATGAAATTCATATATAAAATCATAAACATAACTGAATCCAAAAATTTAACATGAGTTTAATGGTTAGTTGACATGATTTTGCAAGGTAAAAACATAAAAATGATAAACTTGTTAAGTGAACTCATAAGTACAACCGAATTTATAGCTAGCACGAGTTTAAGAGTGAATCGACATAATTTTAGAAGTTAAAAATATAAAAACGTTAACCTACAAAGTCAACTAAGTGATTTTGACAATAATGTTCTCATCACAATTTTTAACGAATACCGACAGATATATCTGATTCTTCTCGTCAAACATGCGTGGGACCCTTTTTCTTTCAAATTAATGAATCTGATCATATAAATATATATATTTTATTCACCAATTATATATTAGACCTAAACTAATAGAGACTAAGCACTGAAGGAATTAAATATAATTAAAACCGAACAACAGTTGCTGAGTTAACTGAGACACCACCATACCCTTTTTTGTTGTATAATATCAATTCAACATTATTTAGTTGCAGAAGGTTGCGTCTGATGTGTATGTAAAGTGTATCTAGTGTATTTTAGCGGAAACTTAGAATTTTTTCCAAGTCACTTTGAATTTTAGACTAATTAATCTTTGCTAGGTTGGAATCATTAAGATTAAACCCCTTTCAACAAGTACGTTTCTTAATATTTGAACTTGTATACTCCTTCACACGAGGCGAGACCATTCACCATCTCAACCAACAACTTATTGGTAGCTAGCTAACGTATTTTAATTTGTTAAGCAGTTTTTCTTTTTCATTTAACAGAAAGAACTTACACATCCATCATATTTATAACAGGTCAAACTTACAACCCATACATACTTAGAAAAGATTTGAGAAGATGCTTGGTGTCATTATACTAGAAGACCCTTACATTGTTGAACAAATCTTTGTTCCTATATTAAGATCATAATTAAGGATTAATTAATGCTTGCATGTCGATGGCCTGAAGACCACTATTTGAATTGATAGTTTGAGGAAGGCACACCAAATTTCGATTCTTCGTCTGCTCAAGGAGTTAATTAATTAGTACAATAATTAACTCATGGTTAATTGAAGCATAACCAAAAAAGTTTGAACATGATTTGAATAAATGATACTCAGCTCTAAGCAATATGCACAATCAGCCTGAAAAGTTCTGGTGGTGGGTTTGATTTGATTAATCAAATCAAACAGCTTCGAGAGAGTTTTGAATAAAACACAACTGATATAAAATACTGAGCAATCAATTATCATGAAAGTGGATCTGACAAAAAGTAATTAATTTTCAAATAATATAATATCGTGCTCATCAGACCTGCCCTAGAATGATTAGTAGTTTAATTCTTTCAGAGAATAATCGGTGGTGTTTGGATTTAATGTATATTCTAAATTCAAATTGGAAAAATTTAAATTATTAATCACTTCATAATAAGTCTTACACATATGTATGAAGTATTCTTGCAACAACACTAGCCTGAAGCACATAATCAGGCAGTAATATTAATTAATTAATCAATCAAAATGCTTTAAGCTATCAGTACTATCAAAGAATCTCTGCCTCTGTCTTCCAATAAAAAATTATTAAATTATTCAAACTTCGACCAAAATGCATATAAAATGCTGATGATAAGCTAACGCACCTGGGCACACACCAATATTACACACACACACACACACACACACAAGTGGATACGCTTAATTCTGTCTATAAGCTGGCAAGTAATTATATATGTGCGCGTGTGTGTGACCCGATATTTCCTGTTTGCATGTACTGTAACTTACAGATAACTATATGATGATCCATATTGAATTTTTTTTATGAATGGTAGATTTTGTTGCCTCTGATCTGTTCTATAAGATTATACTGATTACTTCTTCAACGTTAAGAAAGTTAGTTAAATTTAATTAATACTACCTCCGGTCCTTAATATAAGACCCCGTTTGACTTTTTGTTTGGTCCTAATTATAAGACCTCAATCTATTTTGTCTCTCATATTTATGCATTTTTTCAAGATAGTCCTTCTAATAATGATAGTTCTAGCTAATATACTTAATTAGTAAGATATTTTAGGAATGACAACATTTATTTATTACAAATAACTAACTTAACTTACTTCCTTAATCTCCTCAAATAAGTCAACTGGGTCTTATAATTAGGACCGGAGGTAGTAATAGTTAATACTACCTCTGGTCCTAATTATAAGAGTCAGTTGACTAATTTGAGGAGATTAAGGAAGTAACTTGAGTTAGTTATTTGTCCTAAATAAGTGTTGTCTTTCCTAAAATATCCTTACTAATCAAGTGTATTGACTAGAACTATCATCGTTAGAAGGGTTATTTTGGCCAAAAAAAAAATAAATATGAGAGACAAAGTGGATTGAGGTTTATATTTAAGATCAAAATAAAAGTCAAATAGGGTCTTATATTAACAATCGAAGGTAGTACTTTTTACAACTTCCCAAAATTATCCTCTAATTCACAAGGGAGAAAAGATGGAAAAGGCATTAGAAAGAGAGAATGGCACTTTCGAGGATAAGTTATATATATGTATGTATGTATGCATGCATGTATGTATGTATATATATGTGTGTTTTATTAAATTTGTAAAAAGTCCTGTATTAAAGATTTTTGAAGTTGATGCTCTGGAACACGAATCAAAAGTATTATGAGTATAATAAAGTCACTAAAAAGGTTGTCGTCCAAATAAGGTTGCCTCCGAGAGTGCGACAGATTCATGAATTAATCATAAAGGGAATTCAGAAAACAAAGACACCATTTAAGTTGAATCACCATCGTGTCATGTAGGGTCTTAGTGGGTTGGCATTAATCATTATAACTAGGTTAATTACCTTATTATTATTATATTAATTGTTTTCGCAATTTGTCCAATAATCCTGGATCAACACACCATCGTGCTTGTAATATCCAACAGTACCGTCGTGGTTAACTAAAATTGTTCCTCTATAACATTCTATTTTTTCACTCCTTTCTGGCTTTATATAATACAAGCACCTTCAGCATGTTTTATAATATAATATATTTTAATTTGTTTAAAGCATTCATTCTTTTTATCTAACATCCTTCACTAATTAACCAAACTCCTCTAATTAATGATTTTATTGAGGATAATTTTGATATTTTACAAAAATTAAAAGAGAAATAGTCTTCACTAACTTATTAAATTATGTAAAGTTATTATTAGGTGTTTATAATCAGAACTGGAAGGATAGTTATAATAAAAACCCTTATAAAATTTAATAAAATACTTGTTCCTTTCTTTTCATCCCCCTCTCCCCACAATCAATTATTCAATTATATGAATCAAAGGGTGAATTTGGAAAGGTGCAGAAGTTTTTCGCATTAAACTAATTTTCATTAATTTTCTTAATCTGATCATTAAAAGTTGTAAGTATGGCCTTATTATAAAAAGAACTAGACACGGGAGCACGCAATTGTTAATGATTAATTTCATATAGATACTGAATTATAAAATTAATATTGCTCATACAAAAACTACAATATTAATATAATACTGTTTTTCATATGTTTCATATCGAATAACATTTCAAGCAAATTTAACTAAGAAAACTATATGGAAACTTTATTCAATCTAATTTCCAGTAACAATAGAAATAAGAAACATGATTTATAATAAATCTGATGTGAGCCTTAAATTAGGCTTTAACATAGGAGGAGTGAGGGATTGGTGAATGTGGAGACCTCAAAGAAGGTGACATAATAAACTCATCGAATCTTGCGGAGAAGTTCGCCCTCAAACTCTTAATAATGTTTTGCATATTTTTCATTACTTCCACTGCTTTCTTCGCTTCTTTCCCCACAAATGCTCTGATCCTTCTCAGTGCTACTTCCATGGTTTCGTCATCCATGTTCGCAAAGCAAACCCTGTACCACCCAGCCTCACTGCAGCTGAAAGACGATCCTGGAGATATATTCAGCTTCACTTCATTCACTATCACACGCCATAGCTTCATTTCTCCTTCAACTGTTTGCTCTTTTAACAGACTTCTCAGGTTCATCCAGCAGAACAGGCCCGCGTTGCTTGGAAGGCAAGTGATTCCCATCTTCTCAAGTCCCTCTGTGAATAAATTGTGCCTCTTGGCCAACCTTCTTGAGCTTTCTGCTAGAAATCTGTCCACAAAATCATCATCTGAAAGCATCGAAGCGAGCACGTGTTGAGTCTGTGAAGAGACTAATCCAAAGCTTGACATTTTGCGAGCACAGCTCACCACAGTGTCGTTGTATGAGTAAACTATCCCGACTCTGAAGCCAGGAAACCCCATGTCCTTCGAAAGGCTATAGACTATGTGAATGAGATCTCTGTTGCAGAACTCCATTTCTTGGATGATCTCAGAGACACTTACAAAGCTTGGTGTGCTGAACACAGTGGCTGCATATATTTCATCACACACCAAATGGATGTTCTTTTCACTGATAAAGGTTACTAGGCTTTTCATTGTCTTTCTGTCTAAGGTGGTGCCTAAAGGGTTTGATGGGTTGGTTATAAGCAAGCCCTTCACATTAAGGTTGTCTTCTTGGGCTTTCTTGTAGGCCGTTTCAAGAGCTTCTTTCGTTATTTGGAAGTTGTTGGAGCTGTCAGTGTGGACAGGAATTATTTGTACCCCAGTTCGCCAGCACAAGTCACGGGCATATCTGAAATAGGATTTGAACTACATGTGAGCAAAATCATATATCTTTCTAACGAATAAAATCAAATTGATCGAACATATCCAGGTTTTAGTCGAGCAATATCGACTATATTAATTTGCGGGTCTTAATAATCCACACCACAAATGCAATCCTTGCATGAATGGATGTGATAACAGGACAGGGTTTAAGGATTTTAAGAAATATCAGGTAAGGGAGCGAGGAGTTTAAAGTTAATTGAGCTCCCAAGGTCAACGGCTAGTAGGGTCCACTGGTCAACTGCTCTTTAATAAGTATTTTTCTTTTGATGAAACACTGCTTTAAGTTAATCAGTGATTCATTTGGATTTAAAAAAGAGACTCCATTCACATGCTTGTTGACCTCTTTCTATTGCCCTAATTCATTGAATCAAATGCGATTTGAAATCACTCTTAACAGACATATCGCGTGTCATGACTGCGTAAGTGTCATTCAGTGGAGTTAATAATTGAGGCGCACTGAACATGAATACTGAATATTTATAAAAAGAGAGTGAAAAAGGAGGAAAGAGAGGGGACATACGCTGGATAATAAGGAGAGGGAATCAGAAAAGCATCTCCAGGATCAGCCAAACAGAACATGATGACCTCGTTTGCTCCTGTTGCTCCTCCACTCATTACTATCCGATCCGCTTCGAATTTCACCATCCCTCCATTCACTTTCGACATGAATTTTGCCACACCCTGCACATAGCACAAACAATTATTCCTCCACTTCAGGTCATCTCATGTTTTATTCAACATACTGATAATCAGTAATAATTCATGGTCTCATACATTTCGGAAGCGAGGGAGGCCATGATAGTCCTGAAAGATGGCGACATCTCTGAAGTTATGAAGTCCTTGCGGAGTGCAAATGGAGGCCTCTGGATTGTTCCTAATCCACTCTTGTATCAGGTCAAAGCACAGCTGAAAAATAAACCAAATCACACACACATATACACACACGACCGAGTCAGTCGACCAATTCATCAAACACCTTCTAATCAGTTTTGGTGATGGATGGATGTTGGTGAATATATAATATAAAAACCTGATTTTCAGCAAGGCCCATCTGGATGACTCCTTGAGGGTTGTGCGTGGGATGAAACGGGTCTCGGTCGTAAGCCTTCCATCCATCAAAATACGGAGAGTTTTCCCCGTGTTTGTCATTGATGGCCATGTTAGACAGAAGCTGATGGCTCTCCTCATTCCCCAAACCCATTCTTAAATTTACAAGTGAAAAGGAAAAAAAGGAAGCTAAGGTTCAGTTACTAGGAGGTGTTGTAAAATGGCGAGAAAAGAAACGAGAGAGGTGAAGAGCCAAGAATTAATTGTGAGTTGTGGCGATGTGGTGCTGATGCACTGATGCAGAGGAGTGGGAGGGAATGGGAGAATTTATAGAGGAGCACTAGTGGTGGATGCTATGTACGGTAAAGTTCACTTTCCAGTCGCCCTTTTGAATATCTCATCATATACGCCACCGGCCTTCGTGGAAAAGTCTAAATTAAAAATCCAAAATCATGCTGTAAAATTAACAAAAATCACTTGTAATTTTGACACGCACTGAATGATAAATTTACTTAATCCAGTAAAAGTAATGTCAATTTATATATGTTTTTTTTATAGGCACATGTATCTTTTTATTGAAGATAATTTTTTTTTGAGGCACCCTCGAACACTAAATATGGGCACCGCTCTTAGCGAATTCAAACTTTAGCTCATCATGTGTGAGCACTAAATGCGTGAAGTAAATGGGTGAACCAAAGTTTGAATTGAGAGGTGTCCACATTTAATATCTAATAATACCTTAAACAGGATTACTTTCAATAGGAACATATTTATACCTACCAAGAAAAAAAAAACGTTCGAGATTTAGAGAACTCTTATCTCATGCGGGCTTGGTTTAAATTCCTCCCTACTGCTTTATCTGTAATTTTGTACTATAAAATATAAGATAATTTTGTTTTATCACTGTAATAAACACCACATATATATATATATATATATAACAATGTTATCAGCAATTTAAAGGTATAATTAATAATGATTTCTCGTCTTACAGGTGACTTTGGTATATTAAAAAAGTACTTAAAAAGTTTTTTCATGCAACTCAAAACAAAACTCTTTCCATATAATTATACCTTGTATTTTGTAAAATTATTTTTAAAAAATCTAATAAAAAAAACCCTCTTAGTTGTTTAAGGTGCTAATAGCCGTACAATGCTAAGGTTACAAGCGTGTTAGGTCAAAATTAACGGCACATGTGAAGAGCCATTGTCACCGCAAGTCAGTAAAGCAGAAAATTTTCACTAATTGCAAGGATGCACAGTTTCTTAATATTCACGGGAGAACACGTACGCGACTACGCGTTAAGAAAATGCATTTGTTTTAATTTTTTATTATTTAAAATTTTTGTGAAAGAAATTTAAATATCCGAGTAATTACAAATTAAGAAAAAGCATATTGTATATCCGAACTAGGTGCTCCCTCCAATTAGCTAGTTCTGACGTTTATTTTGGTATTAGATATATCTTATTAATTTATTTTATCTCCTAAATTTATAATTTTTTTAAATTATTCCTATTAATTACATATATAAATGGAGTTTTTATAAATAGAAACATTTTAGAAAAATTAATACACATTTATTACAAATAATTAACTTAAATAATTTTTTAATATTTATAAATTAATTACCTACCTTCGTATTTTAATTTTTATCAGGCTGCGCATAACAAGCTTAACTGCGAAACTGAATCCCAGAGTGACTTGCCAAACAAAAAAGGGGGAAAAAAGAAATGAAAGAAAGAAAAGGTCGCGGATCATCATCGTCTTGGTATTTCTTGATTAGTAATTAGTACGTCCCGGACTTAATATAATAATTAATTAGAGGTTGAATTTGGTCATAGCTATAGGTATAAGATCTTAATCTACTTTGTCTTTTATTTTTTTTCAAAATATCTCTTTTGATTATAAAGGATTTATACTAAGAGGTAATTCTAATAATCTAATACACATGATTGAAGATGATAGTTTAAGAAGATCAACATATATTTATAACGAATAACTAATTTAACTAATTTCTTTTAAATATCTTCAAATTAGTTATTTTATTTTTATATTCAGTATTAAAGGTAGTATATTGAGTTGGAAATTTGGTCGGAGAGATTTTGTAACATTTTAAATAACTTACTGAGGATGACATATAGAGTCGAGAGCTGTACGTCCTGATTTTTTTTGATCTGAACGTCCTGATTATTAAATACTATTAGGTATGATGTGATGATTTTTCTTTTAATTTTACATGAACAAGTTTAGTGTGAACAAGTTTCCTTGATGACCTGAAATATTATTCTTTGAATTTTCAAAATGCAAAGTGGATCTGCAGGCTTGTGAATTGGGAATAAAATTTTCGGTAAAAAAAAAAAGAATTGGGAATAAAATCGACGATTAAGTACAATACAAGATTATATTGTGAAGGTCAGATTGTAAAAGTCAGATATGGGGAAAAAATGTCAAATGGATGCGTAGGTGATGGATGGACTAGGAATTATTATTCTTCGACAAATCAACATGTTCAGACATAGTCAATGGTTTATATTTTCAACGTCAAAAAGTTTATTTAACTTGCCAGATATGTATCGACCCCATTACATATTTTTTTCCGAAATAAAAATGTACGTATATGACCTGAAAATAAGTATAGCACGTTCTTCATGATTTTGGAAAAAAAATTACACACGGTTCTCCTGTTGCAATTTACCAGGTAAATTTCAAAATAAACTATTATTTGTCAAAATATATATATGCATATTACTTCATACTAAAAGAAAAAAATGGGACTATAATTGTGCAATGTGAAACATAAATTCATTTACGATATATTAACCCGTTCTTAATATAAGAGCTAGTTGACTAATTTGAGTAGATTAAAAAAATTAGTTATGTTAGTTATTAGTAATAAATAGGTGTTATCTTTTATAAAATATCTTTACTAATCAAGTATATTGATTAAAAATTTTATTATTACAAGGACTATTTTAAAAAAATAAATAAATATGAGAGGTAAAATAAATTAAAAATTTATATTTAAAACTAAAATAAAAATTAAATTAGTTTTTATATTAAATACTCCAGTTATAGGCAGAGTGTGCTGGAGAATATATGGGCGTGACGCGCGTGCGGAAGGTAACGTCTCCCATTTTGTTGGACAACTCGAACGTGTTTCACAGGCTCCCATCACTCCTTGGACTTCAAACCCTTCTCTGTTCTTTCATATTCACCTCCATGTACGGCTAGTTGCAGTGTCTTGATAATGATCCTGACTTTTCATTACTGTCCGTGCTAATTATAAGACTCTGTTTATAGACTATAAATAGAGTCTTATAATTAAGACCAGAGGTACTAATTAACATCACAAAGTAACTTATGCTACCCTCCTCATTATTAATTTAAAAACTACTTAATTAATTTAATTAAATTAATAAAACTAAACGAATTACTTAGTTCTAACAAATATGATATGATTCTCTTAAAATACCCCATGTCACGCTTAGATTATACCACCTCTAGTTCAAAATATAAGCTAAATTTTGTTAGAAGAGCTTTTTTTTTTTTTTTATAAGATGACGTTCATTTTGGCTAAGCATTTAATATGTTTTCTTTTTCAATTTTACTCACATATATTCTCTTTCTTTTCTGATTCATTTATTATATCTTTTACGTATTCTCTTCATTAATAAGGGCATATTTTGAAAAATATATATATGCATTACATATTTATTGTTTAAAATTGATTTTAACTAATTTTTTTTATAAACATAAATGGATAAAGTTTGGCTTATATTTTGAACCGAAGGAAGTATATAAGTTTATAAATCAATCTAAGTCGCAGAAGAAAATTTTTGGGAGACTTTTAACAAGGGAGGGAGGCATGTGCCTTGCCTAATTGACCCTGGTGCTGCTTTTGTGTTAAGCGTGAGCTTGCCTTTGTAATTAAAAAAAAGGTTTATAAATTAAATAAATTAGTTTAAATTTTTTTTGATAAATATGAGATATAAAAAGTTGATTATGAGATTTTGTATTTAAAATCAAAAGCAACTCTCCAACTAACTCATACATTCAAAACAGGAGGAATATTGTAGAGATTATGACACTAGCTTCCTTCATTACTCGCTCTTATCAATTACTCCTTCTAGTCCTCTTTATAAGAGCCTAATAACTAAATTATGTGATTTAAAAAATTAGTTAAAATTAATAAATATGTAAGAAATGAACTTTTTTTTTCCAGGCATGCCCGTATTTATAAGGGACAAATTAAAAAAAAAGAAAATATAAAAAGGAACGTAGTAAACATTTTAATTAATATAATACACGAGATTAAGTAGGCGCAAAATAGTACAAACAAATTAAACGCTGAGACAATAACAAGTGCATGGGATCTTATAAAAAGAATCAAGACAATTCAAATTTCAGATTCTTATTTAAAAACCCAGAAGGAATAGGCTTTAAAAGTTACAGTACTAAATCATTAGATGTATTATAATAAATGGATTAAAAGATTTTAAACAGAGCTGATGAAGCGAGATGGCTTCAACCCGCACCTTGGTAGCTTGATATTTTTTTCAATCCGAACCCACCTTTTTGGCGGATTGAACTTCCTCAGCTATAGAGTTTTAAGTATATTTAATAAAGATTTACGAGTCGAAGATAAAAACAAGTCGTAAAGCAAAGCATGAGAGTTTGAGTTGCTCTTGAGTTGCTCGAGTTGAATCAAAAGTTTGAGAATTAGGTGATGGTCAAGTTGGGGCACGCGGTTCATGTACGAACGGAAGTATAAGTCCATATGCATGCGAAACATGATTCTTTAATTTGCATCTTCGTCACCTTCTTTTAACCCAATAGAAATAGGAAAATATAAACATCTCTTTTACACCTCACACCCCATCACTGCTTCTAGTTCAGAATTAAACATGTCTATACATAAATTACGTATTTTTCTGATTTTTTTACCTCAATTATACACGTGGACAACGATTATTATGGGCTTGTTTGGTCCTATTCATTCTTTCATGTTCTTAGAAATATTTTTTAAAACTGGTTTTGAAAGGAAAAAATTAATTGAAAAAATATGTACGAATCATTATCTTGAAAAAAAAAATTATAAATAGTAAAGTGGGGAGTGACGCGACAGAATAAGTTTCTATATATTTACATAGTCTT